CTGCGCCACCCTCTTGGCATCACGCCGCAGCAACGGGTGGGAGGGCGCCAGGCTGGTCACCAGCAGGCCGTTGGCGTGCCGCCGCACCAGGACGTCGTTGCCCGCCTCCCCTCCCGCGTCCAGGCGGTAGTGCCTCCCGGGTCAGAGGATTGACACGGCTTCGCAGAAGGAGAAGAAGAAGACGAAGAAGAAAAAGAAGACGAAGAAGGAAGAAGCCGCACCGTGAAAGCGCAGTGGCAGACACATAGGCTTCGCAGAAGGAGAAGAAAGGAGGAGGAGAAAGAAGCCGCGCCCTGACGGCGCAGTGGCGGACACATAGGCTTCGCAGAAGGAGAAGAACGCAGGAGGAGAAGAAAGAAGCCGCGCCCTGACGGCGCGGTGGCCAACACGCAGGTGACGTGCGTGCCTGCGCGCAGGAAAGCCATGGGCGCACGGCGCCTCGGGGAACCCTCGTCGTGGCTTTTTTGTTGCTCGCGAGGCACGCAGGGGGCTCAAACCTAGGGCCCATGGTGGTCGGGCCACTGGGGCAATGCTCAGTACGTGGGTGTGCCCCGCATCAGGAGCCAGAACTCGGAAGGCTACTACAGTCGGACTTCAGTGGACAGGACACGCGAGAGGACACGAGACCCTTCCGAGGGCCACATCGCCTTAGGAGAGAAGGCACATGTCGCGAGGCACAAGACACAAGGGTACCCTTGAGCTGGCAGGGTCGACCTACGAATCCGGGCCGACTGTACGCAAACATTTTCGCCACACAATGCATTCGCTGGGCAGTTCACGCTGTGGCTGTATTGTAAGCGCTTCAGTACATACTTATTCTCAGCGGGCATGCTGCAGTCGCGACCAGCGCGCGACGGCCTGAGAAATATCAGATAGGAGAGGGTTCGGATATTTTCCCAAATCAGGAAGGATTCGGAATCGTAGAGGGGTTCGCCTTTAAGTTGCCCGAGAACTGCCAGGGCCAGAGAGAAACATTGAGGTGGAGAGGAAATGTACTTTGAATTCCCAGAATTAGCAAGGATTTAAAATCGTAGAGGACATGGAATTCAAACTGCCAGACTCATGCTAGGGCCACGAAGAAACATGAAGTAGTATAGAAAATCGCACATGGTTTTCTCAAGTTGCAAAGCATTCTGAACCTTAGGGGAGTGCCAGGGCCAGGAGTGGAGCCGAACTTGTATTTCAATGTATATAATTCGAATCGGAATTGCCAGAGACGCGCCAGGGCCCGGAAGAGTGATGGACTTGGAGAGGAATGCGCGCTTCAATTTCTCATCTTAGAAAGGGCTTCTAGAGAATTCTAATCAGAGTTACCAGAGACATCCCAGGGCAAGGCAAGGTTATGGCGTTGGAGAGGAATGCGCATATTAATTTCTATGCAGATAGAAAGGAATCGGAATCCTAAAGGAAGTCGATTCCGAACTGCCGAGGGGTTCCCAGGCCCAGGAAGAAATATTGAGTTGGAGAAACATGTGTATATGAGTTTCTAAGGGGGTAGAACGGAATCGGCGCCTCCGAGGAATTGGGATCAGAATTGCCAGAGACGTGCCAGGGCCAGGAAGGAATCTGAGTTGGAGACGAATTTCCAGATGGATTTCTAGAGTTAGCACGGCTTCTTTATCCTAAAGGAGTTCGAGTCAGGATTGCCAGGGACGTGCCAAGGCTAGGAAAAATTACGGAGTTGGAGGCGAATGGGCATGTGAATTTCTAGCGTTAGAGAGGATTCTCTCCTGGCAGTTGGCTCACATGCAGGTTCCTCTCAATTTCCATATTCCTACTGGCATACCTCTTGCAATTATGATTCGACTTTCTCTGAGATTCAGAACCCTCCCTTACTCTAGAAGTTCCTGCGCAAATTCCTCTCTATCTCCGTAAGTCTACCGTGGTCCTGGCACGTTCTGGCAGTTCAGATTCGAATTTCGCTGGGCTTCGAACCCTTCCTCAGTGTAGAATTTAAAATGCGAATTTCTCTCCAACTGCATATTTCTTCTTGGCCCTGGAATGTCCCTGGCAATTCTGATTCGAATGATTCTAAGATTCATGACCCATTCTAACTCTAGAGATTCAAGCGCACACTCCTCTCCGACTCCATGTTTCTTCGTGGCCCTGGCACGTCCCTGGAAAGTATGCTTCGAATGTCCTTCAACATTCAGCACCCTTTCTAGAAACTCATGGGCAAATACCGCTCCATCTCCATATGTTTTCCTGGTCCTGGCACGTCCCTGGCTTTTATAATTCATAGTCCGTTCAAAATTCAGAATCCGCTCGAAATCTAGAAACCCGTGTTCGCATCCCTGCACGCCCCTGGCAGCTTTTCTTTTGAATTCATTCAAGATTCAGACTCCTCTCTAACTCTACAAATTCATATGCAGACTCCTCTCCAAATCAAGATGTCTTCCTGGCCCCGGCAATCATCTGACAATTATGATTTGAATTCCTCTACCGGTCGCAGCCTTTCTGACTTCTGGCCCTGGAAATTCATAATGATGTAAATGTCTCTCCAACTCAGTATTCTTCGCTGGTAATTATGATTCGAATTTCTCGACAATTCAATATCTTTTCTAACACTCGAAATGTAATGGAAAAGTCCTTTCTGACTCTTTATTTTTCTGTCCCTGGCAAACCCGATTCCAATTCCGCCGCGATTCAGGACCCTTCATAACTCTGGAAATGCAAATGCACATTTCTCTCCAATTCAATAATTCGCGCTGGCCCTGGCAATCCTCTGGACAATTCTGTTTCGAATTCCACCGCGATGAAAAACCCATTCTAATCAAAATCCTCTCTACATCTGGAAACTCAAAAGCAAACTTCTGTCCAGCTCAATAGTTCTCTCTGGCCCAGGCTACCCTGGCAGCTCTGATTCGAATTCCTCTACGATTCAGAACCCTTTCCGACTCTGAAATCGGGGATGGACAGACCTCCCTGTAGTGAAACGTGGTTTAGTGAAAACGACCCGAGGCCCAAACCTGGCGGGCGCAGGCCTGGAAAACAACGGCCGCGGCGCCCCCTCGAGAACCGAAAACGGACAATTCACGAATCGACACGTGTCACTGTTGGGGGTCCTGCCCACCCCCGAGAGAAGAGGCGTGCGACGGGTGATGGGGCATGGGTCCTGACTGGGGCGAGCGTCTTCTTGTCCGGCGTTTCGACGCCGGGCGGAAGTGTGGGGGGGGAGGGGAAGGGAGGGGGGGGGGTCTGGCTCCAGACCTCCGCTTCACCTGCCATCGCCTGCCGATGAAAACCCTTCCCAACTCAACATTACTCTGGCGCGCAGGTTCGACGTCAGCTTCGCAGTCGTGCCCCGCGCGGGCCTGCAGGATGAGCTCGCGGTACACGCGGTGCAGTACTTTTGCCTACAGGGCGCGCTACAGCATATAATACCTGAGCCACTGAGAGCTGCAGTGTAGCGAACATGCTCTGATGGTAAAGAGCTCACCGGCATGCCCAGGCAGGCCACGGCCGAGGGGTCCCCACGTCCCTGTCGCCGGGGCCCGAGGAGGGAAGATGATGATCGGTGGGGAAGATCGAGGTTCGAGCATCGAGGCTTCCGATGCTGTCCTCCATCTCTGGTCGCGCAATCTCGATCATCCTTTTCCTCCTCTGGTTACACAGAAGTTGATCGAAGCGGTCGCCGCGGTTGAACGATCATCTTAAGAAAAAAAGCAAGCACACGGGTGAACACAACATGATAATACGAGCAGTGCGTGAACAGTAAGAACAAGAAAGACAAGAGAGAGGCTGGAAGTGGAGAAGCCATCAAGGGCATAGAGGAGCGCAACCCCAACCCCCTCCCCACAAGACCTCCGACGTCGCAACTGTTTCACAACAGCGCCCCCCGTAGGTTTAAATCACGTGACGGCCCTGCGGCCCTGTGAGCGCCCCCAGAAGCTTCAACTTGCCAAACATCTCCCACTGATGTTTGTTTGTATGAGGGAGTTTATGTCACCTCAAGCCTCTGCCTCCTGCTCGTCCTGCTCCTTCTCCTCCCCCTCCCGCCACATTTGGCGGTGCCGGAGGCTTGTTTGTTGCCATACCCTCTGGAAGCGGACGGGAAGACAGGGTCTCGAAGGAAAGCGACTACGGCGCGTGCCAGGGACTTCCTGACCATTTATTCTCCAGAAGCTTGAAACGTGCACCCGGCTTCTCAAGGGTGGGACACACGCAACTTTCAAAATCTGCTCTCGCTTGAGCGCCGCGCACATTCGCCTTGAACGTTTGCGACAGCTTCAAGAATGGAGGGAGGATCGTCTCCAAAATGTGCCTCGCGCCCTAGCGCCGCGCACCCTCGTCTCGCAACACCTTGAAGCACGGCAAGGGAGTCGTTTTCAAATTGGAGCTCTCGCCTTAGCGCCGCGGGCAATCGTTGCAAAATTGTGCCGTGTCTTCAGGGATGGAGGGCGGTACCTCTTCGCCGTATCACCGCGCGCTGTCGTCTCACCATCGAGCAACATTTTGAGCATGGACAGACTGCCCCGGCATTCCTATAAGCCTATAACAAAATCTTCTCACAACCAGCAAAAAGTTATAACGAAACGCAGAAACAGTCTTCTTAGAACAGGAAGCCGATGTGTCAAAACAAGACCGTCTCAGCCAGAGATGTTCTAAGACCATCTCGCGCGGACGGAACACAGGAGATTATTATAACCTCATCTGGTGGGCATATGAGCAAGACAGGACGCTTCGCCACTGAGGAGGAGGAGGAGGAGGAGGAGGAGGAGGAGGAGGAGGACGAGGAGGACGAAAAGGGGTATGGGGATGAGGAGGAGGGGGAGGAGAAAGAGGAGGAGGCAGAGGCGGAGGAAGAGGAGGAGGGCTAGGGGGAGAAGGAGGAGCAGGAGGGCCATGAGGAGGAAGAGGAGGGCTAGGTGGAGGAGAAGGAGGAGGCCTCCTTCTCCTCCTCCTCCTCCTCCTCCTCCTCCTCAAAGTGGGTCCCTCGCCCCAGCGCCGCGCTTGTTCGTTGTTGCTTCGTCGCTCGGAAGAGCGGACGATGCTCCCGCTTCTTGTGGCGGGGCGCGCGCCCGGAGGAGTCGTCGCCTGGCACACCCACAACGTCAGCACGCGCAGCGCTGCACGGCTGCAGGGGTCCAGGGGCGGCTCTTCTGTTCAGGCGAGGCCCTCGCCCGAGACCCCCCGGGGGCCTCACGACGACAAGTGTGGGCCTCGTGCAACGCTTGCACGGAGGGGGGCGGCCCTTCGAAAAAGGGAGATCGCTGGATACCTCGTGGACCTGTGTGGTCATAGTCTCCAGTCGGACCCGGGAAATAAGAAAATCCTCCAAGGACATGGGGCCCTCCGCCGGCCTAACTGAAGAACACTCGAGGGTACTCTCCCCAGAATGCACAGGGTCCAACAAACGCAAAGAGCATCAGGGTACCCTCCCCGAACCGACCTCGATCTTATACCTCGGGCCAACTGTATCGCGCTCCTGACTACGCGCCACAAGACTTCAAGGCAGCTCCATGCCCAAGCGGAATCCTCGCCGAAAAATGGCGGGCCTAATCGCGCTATTCTCTCAAGGGGCGCCCGTTTGAGAGAGCAGACATCTCGCAATTAGGGACGTACTTGGGACGGGAGGGTGGGTGTCTTGCAGCATCGCTGATGCCTCTTGACTTTACTCTGATCCTACCCCTCCTCCTCTCGGGGGCGCGCCAACATGGATTAGCGATCCATGGTTTTGGCGCGCAGTCGCCGAATCCATGGATCGAGGAAGGTTCCCTCCCCAAAACGCGGCCGGTGCCGCATCGCTCGGTGGCGGAAATCCGCGATATCCCATGGAACCAAGACCCGTCGCTAATCCACGCCCCTTGATCCATGTTTGCGATCGCCTGATCATCCTCCTCCTCCTCCTCCTTCTCCTCGTCCTCCTCCACCTAGCCCTCCTCCTCTTCCTCCTCATCCTCCTCCTGCTCCTTCTTCTCCACCTAGCCCTCCTCCTCCTCCTCCTCCTCCTCCTCCTCCTCCTCCTTCTCTTCATCCGCCTCCGCCTCGCCCTCCGCCTCCGCCTCCGCCTCCTCCTCCGCCTCCTCCTCCTCCTCCTCCTCCTCCTCCTCCTCCTCCTCCTCCTCCTAACTCTCTTCGTCCTCCTCCTCCTCCTCCTCTTCCTCCGTCCTCCTCCTCCTCCTCCTCCCTCCTCCTCCTCCTCCCTTTTCTCCTCCTCCTCCTCTCCTCCTTCTCCTCCTCCTCCTACCCCTAGCCCTCCTCTGCTCCTCCTCCTTGCCCTCCCTCCTCCTTCCTCCTCCTTCTCCTCCTCTCCCACCTCCGCCTGCGCCTCCGCCTTCGCCTCCTCCTCCGCCTCCGCCTCCTCCGCCTCCTCCTCCTCGCCCTTCGCCCTCCTGCTCGCCCCCCTCCTCCTCGCCCTCCGCCTCGCCCTTCTCGCCCTCCTTCTCCCTCTCTCCTCGCCCTCGCCCCCCTCCTCCTCCTCCTCCTCGCCCTCATCCTCGCCTTCCTCCTCCTCCTCCTCCTCCTCCTCCTCCTCCTCCTCCTCCTCCATCTCGTCTTGTCCCCTCTCTCCCCTCCCCCCCCTCGCGGTGGGGCCCGCCCCCCCTCTCCATCCCGACCCGCTCTTCGGGGCGCGCGCGTGGGCCGTCGCGGCGGGTCGCCTCCCGAGGAGGAGACGACGCAGGGCAGGGGCGGGCCCCGGCGCTCCAGGTCCGCTTCTCGGTTACACGTCGGTCGAAAGAAGTAGGGAGAAACAGGAAGTAGGAAGGCGGCTAAAGTGGATTGGGTCCAGGTCCTCCCAGATAATAACAAAACGCAGCAAAGGCATGTCGTTTCTTGAAGTAGGAAGGCGCTTGAAGTAGATTGAGATCTGGGAAGACAAAAATACCTACTTTCACCGACCGGCGTGTAATGTGGGGGAGACCCCAACTGGTCGAAACAGGTGACCAAATCAGCCAAGATCTACACGTCCGTCGGAAGAAGTATGTAGAAACAGGAAGTAGGAAGGCGGATAAAGTGGATTGGGTCCAGGTCCTCCCAGAGAATAACAAAACACAGCAAAGGCATGTCGTTTCTTGAAGTAGGAAGGCGCTTGAAGTAGACTGTGATCTGGAAATCCCAAAATACCTACTTTGAACGACCGGCGTGTAGGAGGCGACTGCTGTTAGGTCGGGCATGTCATCCTACAGGCGAATTTTGGGAGGGCGATGAAAAGTAGTAAGAACATGTAAGAACATGCGCCAAAAGGATCCAAACGAATGGAAAACGCCCCCACACTAGTTGCTGACTGTTTTTGAAGATATTCCTCCTGTCGAGGCACATGCCCGACTTACAACCACTGGGAGGTCTCCCTGCCACGCCGGACTGGGCCGCGGAGCAAGCGGGATGAAGCCGGAGTGAGCGGGATTGAGCCCGAGTGAAAGCGCGGTGAAGCCGGATTGCAGTGGAGGCCAGTCCACAAGAAACCTTCCACAAGAAACCCAACTCAGAGACCCCAGGACTTCCATTGATTTTTGGTATGGGAACCTCACGCTTTCCCACAGCAAGACCATCAAGACCCAAGAAGCCCAGGGCACCCTGGGGGCAAGCAGGGTGCTTCTTGGCATGGGCCTCCGCTGCAAGCCGGAGCTCGGACCAGGGCAAAGTCAGAACTCGACCTCCCCGGAGCTGCATCCAAGCACCAGGGCTTGGCAGGAGCACCCTCCCGTGACACTGGCCCCCGGGACCAGAGACCCGGCGGGCGCAGGGCCGCGAGAAGAAGTGCGGCCGCAGCATCCTCTCGAGCACCAACGGGGAGGATGTACATTCGCCGATCGACTTGACGCAAGGCTCTCTATGAGCCTCTGATCCTCCGGGCCGTGGGGGCCGAGTCCGCCTCTGGCGCGCGAGCGGCCACATCGTGTCGGGGGCGTCCAGCAGGGGGGCTTCCGAGAGGGAGAAGTGCAGGTCGTGGCCCGAGGCATGTGCGCGGACCAGGGGGACGTACTGACACAAGAAGAGGGGGCTTGAAATCAGGGGAGAAATCATTGCCCTGGCCATGATATACATCCCCCCCAAGTTTGGGTGACCCAAAGGGGGTCCAGCTGAAAGGGGGCTATACAATAGATTTGGGGCCATTGTACTGCAAATGTATTGCGCCGGAGACTTGTACTGCATCGTATTACAAGTAATGGATTGCGTGCGAAAATCCAGCAATACACTTGCGCCCTGGAATGTATTGCAACCCCACGAATCTATTGCACCAAATCTATTGCACCACCCCCTTGTCGCTGGACCCCCGTTTGGGACAACCCGGTCTAGTCTCAGGTCGGGCATGTCCTCCTACGGGCAAACTCTAGTTTTGAGTCGGGCGTGTCCCCCTACAGGGGATTTTCGACGAAAACAATACCCCCAAAATAATCCAAAAATAATCCCCAAATAGTATGGGGACTATTTTTGCAGTATTTCTTGACCTTTTTGGGACATGTTTGGTGTATTGTTTATTTGTCGTCGAAAATCCCCCTGTATGGGGGACAGGCCCGATTTAACTCTAGATCGGCTACACGCAGGAGTGACCCTGGGTAAGAGTGACCTTTGGTGCGCTGCGTTTTGGGGGCCGCGGGGGGACCACACACAGGCGCGCAAGGCGCTACTATCGCATCGCGTTCGGCGATCGGGGAACCCCATTGTGCCCGCACCAAAGGTCACTCCGGCGAAAGGCCACTCCTACGTCTGGTCGAGTAAGACATG